AAATAATGTATAATATCGTGACATTAATATTTACACCAGAATAATTTTAATTATTGACACTAAATGTAGTTGACACCTGCAAAAAAAAATAATAAACAAATTTATTTCACTAGTAAGATACAAATGTACTTTCCTTCCAATAAAACTCAGAACAGTTTGATATGGCTGCGGTTAAGCATTCAAAATCGAGCGGTTGTCATGGTTGTGCGTATATACTATATATGATTCCGGAGGCTGTGGCTAATGATGGAAGGACGAATCTAAACCGCATCCAAAATCAGGACATTATTGCACCTCAATTAAGCGGATGATTTTTACAAGCTTGGCCTTGTGAGGAAATAGGCAGAAAATTGTGTGCTGCCTCGAGCAGAAGTTAATTTGTATTGACTGCGATGCACTGAATAATATATTGGGAATTCTATATTACAAGCATATTCTCAAAATGTAAGTTATATATAAGAAATGCTAGTCACTATAGGCTATTGTTATAGAGCAAATAAAACATTATTATTGAATCTACCTGTTACTAAAGCGTCCGATATATCGAATAAGTAGAAAGAGAATACGTTCGTTTTTATGTATTCTCACGCATAAATAATCCAAAGAGTTATAAATAAATGACATCGACAGGAGCAATCCAAGGCCTTCATTCCAGGTGCAGCTCAGCGCTTTTTCCGCATTCCCACAACAAAATGCAATTCATGCTCAGCATTCCAGGAATCTTGGATTTTACACACTAACCATCTGTTGTTGCTGCGCTCAATTATACTCACGCATTACGAGGAAAAATTATCGTCGCGTTAGGGGCGGCCGTGCTGACTGGTCACAGGTAATATAATTGTAATTGTCGATAGTGTTCCGTGAGATATCAGTCGGCCTGAGTTCTTTGTTTCACTGAACACCCGTGAAATGAGAGAATACAAATTCTTAACGTAAGTTAATGTACCATAGCTCACCTGGCGGGAGAGGAGAACAGCAGCCCAGTTTTCAGCAGAAAGTTTGCTCTAAAATTTCTCAAATTTTTACATGGATCGAAACAACGGGCAGTTTTTATTATCGCACTTTGGAGGTCGTTTGAAAGGGATTGTTTATGTACAGAAAGGTTTAAATTCAAAAGTGTAATAATTAGACCAGCAATTCATCTGTAATGTATTTAATTTCTTAACGGATCTTCAGCATGAAAAGATATTTAAAACAAAAACATTTAGATATTCATGAATTAGCGTTCAGGCAATTTAATGAATCAATGTTTTGCATGTCACGCAAGCTTGGATTCAACTTATATTTTTTAAATGTATACCACCTTTGTTTATTGAGCATGGAAGGATGTTTAACAGATAAACAATAGCATGATATAATATAGCAAGAAAGCTGCTATGCCAGCAACAAGGATCCATGCCATATGAGCGCGGTGCTCCAATATATGTAAACGGTTCTAAAAAGCAGTTGATAGTTATGTTCAAGATGAACTCCATGTCACAATATACGAGGGCCATAATTAGCTTACACGTCTCGTAAATGGACATTGTCCCGCTCACGTCGAGTATCAATAGAGTCGGGCCAGCGAGTCGACTCGGCGAGCCCGCGTTTCCTGAACAGTCTCGACGATCGAGTTACCGAGACGAGGTTGTATAGAGATAGCCACCAGGTGTGCAATTACCACCGCTTACAGGTGCTTATTAACACCAACAGCTACTACCTCCACTCAGATTTCAGTCTGTTTCTGAGCCCTAAAACCAGGTCTTTATTTTCCGAGCAATAGACGATGCTTGCTCCTTGCTGGCTCTCACTGAAACAATGACCAGGAAATGCTTCAGTCTTGAATCCATGCTATCCAGTTTGCGTATTGTTGTGTATATAATTTTTAAAATATTTTGATAACAGTTGGTTTTGGACTCTTTATTTTCTCCACATGATAGCCCCATAATTTATTATTTTCCCAATCCGTACAGTAATTACAGGCAGTAATCCGCTGCGTTACAGGCAGTAATGCAGCGGCAATGAATTAAACAAAAGTCCTAATGAATAATCGTTGACAGCCAATCAAGCGTAGCAGTTTTGTGCATCTTATTCGATGTAGGGAAGGTCCAAAAAATTGAATTCCGTTTTCCACAAACCACGTACTGGTCGGGTGAGAGCTGCACGCTGTGCTGGTCAGTCAAGATATCAAACAGCCGCTGCGATCTCAGCAGGCGTTGCATGCAACGTGTCAGAACCATCCTTGTTCGAACCTTTGATCTGGCGGGTGTCTGACGAGAGGCGATCATGACGATCTATTGATTGGAATAGGTGATCATGACGATCTATGTATTGAATCCTCAACTAAAAATCATAAAAATCCATCACAAAAAATCAAAATCGTCCTAAACTAAAATTAATAAAAAATCATGAAATAGGAACGGCTGATTGCCGGCAAGGAAATGTCAACATTTATTTCTTGTTTGAATGTACTCGTAGTAAGAGAAGATAATTTAAAAAATTTGATTGAATTTAGCCCACTATTGCGGGACGAATCGAAAGAACGTTCATCAAAACTCGTAGACAACAAATTTTGACGAAATATTTTGAAATTTTATAGTTATAGTAATCATAAATTATATCCGTCATCTCAGTTGTGAATACATTCTCTACATTATTTCATAGACATAATTATTTATTGTCAAGTGCTTTTTATTAATTTCATGGTTTGTTGTAACCTCAGTCGAGGACAAAAGTTACCTTCATATTAATGGATATTTTTAAACCTAGCAAGCTGGTGCTGCCCAAAAATGGTCTTGAAAGCAGCACGCATAGAAAAATTATTCAAAAGAGACAATGGGCCTGAAATGAGGACCAAGCGGCCACAACATAAGGCGAATAATTTGATAAATTAGCTTGAGGATGCCACCTTTGCGTGGGATATTTTACGGACCTTTTCCCGTAATCGAGAAGCTAGGAAATGTCAAGGTAACGTTCCAGAGCACGATGCCATGATTCCTGCTCGAACACCTGGTCGCACTTCGGTGTTATGAGTGAAGAAATATTACGATGGATTGTCACTTAAGGTACTTTTGACGAAAAGTGGGTCATCTATAACCAATTATATTTTTTATAATTTAAGGTTCGAGTATATAGTGCTGACAGAAAATTCGTTTACTTGTGTTAGGTATATAGGTTTGCATGTAATTGTACTTGAATTATTAAACCAAAATGTCGCTTCAAAATTACGGATTTACACGAATCATTGACTTGCTATGACAGTACATCTTTTTAGATAATTTTTCTCGATCTTAAATCTGGAAAATACCATAAGGATCTCCAAGTTGTAACTGCGAGCGCGTTGGGTTAAAGTATATTGGTGTCCATGAGGTAGGCGAACGCATTACTACTCAAAACAAACATTGCAGAGGTTTGAGCGCAGCCACTGGGTGGGCTGTCACATGTTCATTGTACAAACATCATCCAATACAAGCCAATCTCTATGCTCGACTTGGCTGTGGGTGCTCAGCACTTGATAAACTCTCCACTGAGACGCGCTCTTCTATCTTCAAGCGACGTAAAGGAGTTCAAGACTGATACTCCTGGGCTAAATTGTAGCTAAAATTATTGACCATGTGTGCGTTGCTTAATCAAATTTAATGAAGAGTTCATGAGGATATCTTATGGTAGGATAAAAATAATTAGGTAATCGGTGAAAAATTCCTAGGCTGGTGTATTTATAATTTGTCGTTTGTGATGATACTTTAATCTCCATTATCATTGTGACCATAATTATTTAACGAATTACCATCCGCATAATTTAATTTAATAGTACATTTTTGATCGTAGCAAAGGTTTTTGTGCATTACCTGCTCACGTTATATTTTTATATTTTTCTACATTGGTGAACTTTACAATCTCTCACGCAATAATCACAAGAAAATGACTAACATGATTCATTTCAAGTAAACCTCAGCTAGGTCCGCAGTTGATCGGAAACAGAGTTTGTGGGCCCAAGTGGCAGCAAAAGCCCCGGATGTCTCGACTGTTCCCGTACAAAGCTGTGTCGTGTGAAATGCCTGAGCGCCGTACTGCCGGAGTCTCAGGTTCGTGGGCTGACATATCGACTTGTAAACAACATGCGTCGGAAGCATCGTCAACTTCATTGATATGAGTTGGAATGTTGAATATTATTTTTCATCGAATTAATAATTTCGCGATCAGGCATATCGGGGAATTTTAGTACGTGGGTAAACAACAACATTCCTTAAAACTCATACCATTTAACCATTTAACGCAACGTTAAATTATTTGTTATGTTCAGCTCATGTCGTTCGTTCATGATAGTTCTTTGAGTTGAGCAAATTATCCTTATTATTTGCATACGCGTTGGTTTGGTTTTCGTGGAAAGGTAGCTCAGTTCATTTAGTTTCGGATATTGTTGGTATAATGGTATCGAGCCCAAGATAAAATATTTTAAGATTTTACAGCAGTGGGCGATGATTTAATCTTTTACACCGTTCGTGTTACGAGCAACATTAATTGTTCAGAAAATACTATTTAGACATTTTTAGCTGGCTTCTTGATGCAATCGAGAAGGCAGTTGGCTTTGGCAATTTATTGCTGACTCAAACTAAAATTGCTGGCATTAGCAATTTAATGCAATCAAAACGAAGATTTGTCTTGAAGTTTAGTGAACTACTTTAAGTTGAACGCAATTTACCTCTAAAGTCTCCGGGGTTATAGTTTTTCCATTGACAACTCATTTTAATTTTTCTAATTACAATGTTTAGATTGTGGACTCTTATCAACCATGCGGTTGATCTCAGAACAAAGAAAAGATAGTTATTGGATCTAGAGTTCAAGCTCGTTGAAAGAAACAAGTTGTTTCCGGATCAATTCTGTTGCCATATAAAACCTTTCAATTTTTCATAATAAAAAAATTATCATTGCCTAGGAAAATGCATTTATAGTGATTCATTGCAATTAATTACTGTATTCCTGTTTTATGAACAATAGGTGGACATTAATAGAAATGAAATTGTAAACATTTATTACAGAATTTATGTTTAATAAATTTAGAAATGCTCTTAACATTTAAATCACAGAATTTCGACTGAGATGTCATGGAAAAGAACATTATACGTGGTAACCATGACATTTGACATATGCGAAAATAGATAATTCTGTTGATACATACCAACAATATATGTATGTCTTCAATATTAAACAAAACGGATATGAATGAATTCAAGATGAATCAAACGGAAATGAACCGGAACCATAACACACGGCATTTACAAAATATTTACAGTTAAGAAATATACATTACGAAGAATTGATCAGAGTTCTAAGAATGCATGAAATAGTCCACGGAGATCAATTCATTAAATCTTCAATAGAAAAGCCTCGCTTCTTTTTCTTGGGGTTTTCTAATTTGTCGGCATCGGATAAGACTGGCATTGACAAAGGGCTGAACTCGGGCGGGGAAAAGTTAGCTGACACTGGCGAGGGAGACAATTGCGGGCATTTGCTGTACTCGTTTATTGACTTTGGCGGAGGATTGCCGGGAAAAATCGGTATGAGTGTGAGTCCTTTAGGCAATTGAGGAGTCTTCGGCAGAGATTGTTGGTTCAGAGGAGTTGCCTTGTTGGCCAGACTTTTAGACAGAGCCTGTAACTGAAAATTAGAAGGAAATATTGTAGCAGCTGGAAAGAAAGGGTTATTGATACCAGCAAGATTCTGCACGGGATTTAAAGTTCGTTTGTAACGATTAAGAAATTGGCTGGAATTATTGTCGTACAGTGGCATGGGCTGCTTATGAGGTACCTTGGCCATAGACGACGAAAGACTCATGCGGTCGGGACTGGTGCTGGGCACTGGTGATTTCGGGTATTTGTTCACATGTTGGGCTTTGTGCGTGTCCAACGTCCTGTTCTGACAAAAACCTTTACCACAAACTTCACATTTGAAAGGCTTTTCTTTACTGTGAATGTATCTGTGATCACGGAGGTGGTCCTGTCTTCTGAAGGCTTTGCCACAAATTTCACAAGGGAAAGGTCGCTCGTCCGTGTGCGTGCGTTCGTGAATTAGGAGGTTGTAGCTTTTGGTGAACTCGCGGGTGCAAAATTTACAAATGTGCCGCTTCTTTGGCCTGCAAATACGGCCTCCGGGACTGAGAAGCAATCGCGTCAAATCGGCATTCCAAGTAAAATTACGTCCATAATCGCCCATGAGGCTTGCAAGCCGAGGTTCCAGGCCATAAGAAGCGTGTTTTGCTGCAGTCAAAAATGACAGCGGAGGAAGAAGAGGAAGCAAAGGTCCCTTGGCCATCCACGGAGAAAAGGCTGAGGACATCGAAGTTCCTGAATGCGACTGACTCGATGAGGTTGAGTTTGGGATCATCCCTGGAAACACGACCCCACTGGAGCTCGTTGGGGTCGTCGGAGGTGTCAGCAATCCTGTTGAAAAAACAATATTCAGGTTTTATTGTTAGGTTTCGGAAATTCCGGTCAATTGTTACCACTATTATAAGGCATGGGGAAGTATTGGTGTGGTGGGGAAAAAACTTGCCACCGGACAGTGCATGGGAGAACTTTCGAGACGGTACAAAATCTCTTGTAAAAATATATCACGCTGTATACTGTCGAATATACGTGACGTGTTTAATTAGGCTTGGAAATGAATTGAAAGTATAATTGACAGCTTCAATAATTAAACTAACCCTTTTTTGGATCGACCTGGAAGAGTTTTTCAAATATTTTTGAAAATTATTTTCAACCTATTTAATTTGGAAACAATTTAAAGACCTCTTTGTAACTGAAACGATTGTAAAATGTTCTGCCCTTGAGGTTTCATTTAATTTGTAAAAGGTTTATTTCATATGCATTTTGTATATGCAAATAAACTGTTCGATTAAACTATTGACGATCATCGAATACTGAAACCCTTCACCCCAGGGCGGAATTCAAGTGCAAGGTAATATTCAAGGGGTAGTATATTACCGAGTGCAAAAATTGGGTCTAAATTTCTGACACTTGATTTCACTTCTATGTTTAGGTGATATTCTGAAACCGATCAACCATCGAGACTGAGTCGATCTTGCACAGTACTAACCGCCATATATAGAATTCCACCCTGCAGTGATTTCACCCACCAAAACCTTTTCGACTAGATTTTGCATGAGCAATATTTGGAGATATTCACGTACATAAACCACCAATTAACGTTCGTTTTGACGAGCCTGTTTACTTCAATAAACTAATAGTTGATCGGATAAAATGATTATCTATTTAGGCAAAAAATATCTTTCACTTAATTAACATAAATTTAAATGATCAAAAATCTGAACCACTGACACTATACAATCAGGCCTTTGCATGATTATTTCTGTGCAGCATGTTCTGATTTCTCTCGAGCTATTAATATATTAAAAATACAATGACACAAAACAAGAAAAACTTTCACAAATTACACATAAATTAAAGAATTGCTTCTCTAAGTTTACCCTTTATATTCACCAGCCAGCTGAAAACTCTCTTATAATAAACATCTACTTACCAGAATTATTCTCTTTTCCAGATTGTCTGTGGATGTCAGGCGAAGACCCAGAAGCATCATCCGAGTTCTCTGTATTCTGGTCTGGCGAATTCATCGTGAAGATCAAGCAAGCGATGCTTCTTTCCTTTGATGTGCTTTACTTGTGATTGGAAATTCAATGCACTTTGTTGTTCAATAATGTACTGGACAATCTATCTACATCATATCTTGAACTATTCAATGTGAAGTATTGTTTATTTTAATTGAAGGAAACTTGTCTGTTTTTTTCTGCACCAGACAAGAATCTCTTATGATAATTAGAATTTGAGAGCAGCGTGAAGCAAGATGCTGGGAAGCAATCGGCTGGCACCGTCGGAAAGGACGTGAATGAGAGACTGTACGGCCCAGCAACGTAGTGAGCAACCGCTCCGAGAACCCTTCATATGTGGGCGGGGCTTGTTGCCAGCCTTCACAAGACTAACTCTGCCTCTTGTGTACGTTCCTCATTTAAATTACATCATTAAGTGTATGTTTCTCATTTAAATTACGTTATTTATTGTAGGATTTTCTCTTAAATACGTTTAGTCATGAAATAGTGTACGTAATAGTGGAACATGAAATAGTGTACGTTTCAGTCTTAAATGACGTTTAATGGTGGATGCATTTCACTTGAAAACCTGGAATAGTGTCCGATTCCGTCTTAAATAACGTGAATAGTGTACGTTTCTCTCTTTAATAACATGAAATAATGAACCTACGATTTTCTCATACATAATATGAAATAGTGTACGTTTTTCTCTTGAATAGCGTGGATAGTGTACGTTTCTTTAATAAATCACATGAAATAAGTACGTTTTGTACTTGAGTAAGGGAAATAGTGTAAATTTTAGAGGGACTGCGTAAATTGCGGTTGAAAAAAAACAATGTAAGCCTTTTTCAGCCAGGAAGGACGGTATATATTGATCATTTCAGCCGTGATGATGTTTCTACCTGAACTAGTTTATTAGTCAATTGATTTAATAAAATACTTTAGTTGTCATATTCACGAATTAAGAAATATCGTGTAATATAAATGAATTAGTTCTCCGATATTTAGAAAATTACGACAGTTTTAAAAATTAATAAACACAACCAAAGCTATGATAGAGGAATGAAAAAATACTTGAATTTTAAGACATATGTTGCTATCCCGTGAGGTACAGTACAGTGAGGAATTGATGCTGCAACAGCACAATTAAGTTTTGATGGGCATATATACTATTATCTAATCCATCAATGGACCATTCTAGTCGCTACTGGATCTATAAGAACCTAAAATTTCTACATTATTTATAAGCAATATGTACGTATACCAAGTCCTGTAAATACTCAATTCCTTCTTCCGATTTGAATTGCTGCCATATTCAAAAATTGTCGTATCAAAGGTGACATATTTTCAAAAGTTGCTTCAACTCATGCATGCTTCTAGTAAAATGTTAATGCTAAAGTTACTAGCAAAATATAGCGTAATTTTTGCCAGCAAATATTAGTATGAATAATAATTAGAATTCTCTACGTACAGATACCCTCTATTTTCGATCTATTTACTCTCAATTAATATTTTTATGTCGCTTTACTTATGCGGATGGCACGGGCACAAAACGAAGCCTAGCAAACAATACCCTCGAGCAAAATTGCAGCAGATTCTTAATTTAATATCTATACGGCAATTGCAAACCGCATTAAATACTGTGTTTTATGCAGTCAGCAGAATGAGCTTGAAATTATTGCTGTGCTTTGAACGCAAACAAGTTACGGTTAAATTTGTTTGCCGGACATGCAAGCACGGAAGAGTTACGTTCTCTGTCAATGAAATATAAAAGGATAAACAAGATAGCTCTTCAAAAATCTTGGCATTATGAAACCTCTAAAAGTTGAGGACTCACAGGATTAGGTTCAACATTTTAAAGGCATAATTCACATGTATATTGTGGTTATATTAATTACCATCGGCGGCACATTAATGGCCATCTGCCACCAATAATTTTATTTGGATATGGTCGGCTGCTGTGACTTAATTCCACTCTAAACTGTAATTTTTAACCGGGCATGGGATCCATTCCTGCTCTTTGGGTTCTGTTGGAGAAAACCTCAGCAACATGAACTATAGTTTGGTTCATATAGTTGAGTTCCTATATGAATACATTAAGAGAGAAAACCTAATTCATTTCTCATTGCATTCTTCAAGTTTGGTAATTCATTCTAAATCGAGGAAAAAGTCCAAAACTCCAATTTAAATCCAAAGAGAAAAATATAATAGACAGTTTCAATAAAGAAATTTTAGCATTATTTACATAGGTGGATTACATTATTACATCATGATTATGTACGATTATGGGCTAAAACAGAAAAAGTAATGAAAGCTAGCAATCTTTGTATGACATCCCGTAGAGTTTTTACGATTGTGTTTCCTCCGAGCATTTCGTAACATTTCGGATCATGCAACCTAATTCCGATTATAAATATTTAGTTTGCAGTATATTACCATTAACTCACATCGACAATCTAGATAAAAGCTTCAGATCCAAGCATTTGCAGTCGAGAGTTCTGATAAAATTGCATTCAGAATCAAAATTGTTATCCATATCACTATATCGCACCATCGGACTGTTATAAATTAATAAATTTTCAACTGGTTAGTTGGGTATATAATTGCTGTATTAAAAATTTGACGATTCTAGCACACAAAAACGGTCTGGTTGAGAGGAAAATCACTAAACTTTATATAGGTAATATAGGTAATAGAACCTATATAACCTATATAGGCTATTTGGGTAATATAGACTATATAGGTAATAATAAATTGTTTGGAAGAATCATGAAAATAATAGTTTGCAATTTGTCTCGCTTCGTTAAAAATTAAGTTGTGAAATGCCGTTTACGGAAAATATCCTCAGTTAGGTACGTGAGTGAATAATAGAAAAATTAAATGAATTGCTGTTCATCACTTTGTTTCGTAATTATCAAGCCAAGGCTGTTTTGTTTTACTTAAGTAATTCAGTTGAATTCTACTTTATGAATAGTATATATACGGTGAAAATTCGGTTTCCTCTTTTAACTCATACGTATAGCAAGCCTTATATATATTGACAGCATTGTATGGCAGCAAAGAATGTTTTAGCTGTTGATTCTCATAATACATACTAATCACGCGGAGCTCTACTTACTTATAAACATATTAATGGCTTATGTTCTTTGTAGTGCGTATATACGTATACCTTGTGACATGCGTATGTTATTTGCTTGGAAACCCTGCTTTTACTCGTAGTGCTTACTGAATATCCCGTGTGACATGCGTGTATTACTTACTTAGCATAAATCCTTCGTTGTCCATGTACACCGTATGGTTACTTACTTAGGAACACGGCTTAAATTCTCGGTATATGCCGTGTGACACGCGCGTGTTACTTAGAAAGACTGCTTATATTCTCGGTATATGCCGTGTGAAATGCGTGTTACTTAGAAAGACTGCTTATATTTTCCGTATATGCCGTGTGACATGCGTGTGTTACTTAGAAAGACTGCTTATAGTCTCGGTATATGCCGTGTGGCATGCGTGTGTTACTTATAGAAAGACGGCTTATATAGTCTCGGTATATGCCGTGTGAAATGAGTGTGTTACTTAGAAAGACTGCTTAAATTCTCCGTATAGTGCCTATATATACCGTGTGAAATGCGTGTGTTACTTAGAAAGACTGCTTATACTCTCGGTATACGCCGTGTGACACGCCGGCTACTCAGTGACTTGCGCACCACCCAGTCTGCCGGTGCGTATCAGTGATTTGTCTCAGCGATACGCACGGCCACTCTGCGGCCGCGTTCGCTGATAACGCCTCTGATGCCTTCGCATAGCCCTGCTGATAGTCACCATTGCGAGGTGCTTTAGGAAGAGTTAAAGAGCTTTTATGGTGAGTAGTTTGTGAACGTCGCGAGCAGCTGGGACATGAAATTTATTCGCCTTTTATTCTATACAAAGATTTTTCGGGTAGTTTTGGGTCGACGGTTTGGTTGAACATTGTATAATTATTTTATCTTATTTTTATTGCATTGATTTGTAAATTTGCACGTCAATCAAGAGTTGTATTCTATCAGTCTACTCTCTGCAGGTTGAGTAAACATACATTATTGTGGTTTGCAATAGGGGACGGTCTTTTAATGTCGTTTTAAAGCTTACCATCCCGAACACTCTGTGCTGATAGCCAAGCGATGCGTAATGGTACATGCATGGAGGTGCGTGTGCCATTTAAATCTTGCTACGACACGTCCTGCGTGTAATCAATGAACATATTTATAAAAGCTGTGTGTGGTGATAGCGGTAATGTGAAGGAGTAATTATAGTAGTGCACTTATTGCGCTGACGAATGATATCTCCTAACTAAAAGTAAGATGGCGTCTAGCCTTACTTTTATCATGTATATACAGGCTACAGACCAGCTACGGGCTACAGACCAGCTACATCTTCTCTACGAAGATGAAAGAGATCTTTCAATTGAAGCCCGAGGGTTGGTCAATGTCTCAGAATGATACATGCGATGAAGCTATTAGGCAATTAATTTGCTCACATTTCGCTTGTTGTTTTAAATTATATCGCCTGATTAAATGAGTTTAGATTGAACTAACATAATAGAACGTGAGCTGCATTAAAAAATTAACCACTGATTTGCTGATATCCAACTTTTATCGATGCATATCGACCCTACATTATGTATTTAAAACCGTTCAAGAAAAAAAAATACATTTTAAATTGTAAGCCTAATACAGATTTCCAAAATTCCTTATATAGGACATTCGCGCTCCACCTGTAGTGATCATCAAGCGGGTGAATTGGAATACACATCTGAAATTATAAGTGAAATCATTATATTATTGGCCCAAAAATTGAAATGAATTAAGTTCTGGATTTAACTACCCCTTTAATTCGAATAGTTCGTCTCAACTAAATCTGGAAGGTAATTAGTAGTAAAGGATTAAATGCTGCTTTCAAATTGCTTGTGTCACTGGGATGGTCGGCTACCACTCGACCATTAGCGGCACTGGCAGTAAATTAGGCTTGAGTGACACAGGCTGGGCGGTCTCGCTCGTCCTGAGTCACATTTATTGGCGTGTACCCGGCTAACAAGTTTACATTGTATACAATATTGTTAATATCAATATTGTATTATACAATATTGTTAGTCTTTGCAAAATGAAAATATACTTGACAGTTCACGCTTCTCTCCAGTCTTCAATGAAAAATTTACATTGTAAAGGTTTACAAGCCGAGTTGTAACAGTACTGTGTAGGCCATTTATATAGATGACTATACTCAAATAGATATAATGTATTTGGGTTATGGTATATGACGGTATA